GACAGACTAGCTGAAGGGCAGTTCGTATGGCTATACAATCCTGCCAAGACAAAGGGAAAGTCACCAAAGCTCCAACGTAAATGGGAAGGACCTTATCTCATTGTCCGGAAACTATCCGATGTGACCTACAGAATTCAAAGGTCGCCTCGCGCAAGGCTGAAGGTGATTCACTATGATCGCCTTAAGCCGTACATTGGTGAGCCAATGGAACCATGGAAAGTAGGAGAGCCTGCGAAGGTTACACCTGCGGATGACATGAGACCAGACACGCCAGTGACAGACCACTGTGACCAGGCCAGAGATGGATTGGTGATCCAGAATGAGGAGAACGATTGCGTTGGGTCTCCAGCTTCAAGGTCCGTGGAACAGCAAGTAGAGCACCAGACGAGACAGGTTGATGATGTGAGCGACCAACCGCAAGCAGACGAGCTACCCCAGGCAGATATCCCGAGTTCGATACCGGAGCCTAGCTGCGTTGAGACGCAACAGCCGCAGCGAAGAAATCCAGCGAGACAGCGGAAAGTTCCGCAGCGTTATTTGTAGAAATAACAAAGAATGGCGCCTACCGAGGATGCCAAGAGCCTACTATGTACTTTGCAGATTGTACTGGAGTAGGAATTTTCAGTAGCAGTAATGTAACTCAACCGTTTCTCTGTTGTGTCTTTCAGAGGCCGAGAAGACAAGTGAAGGATGGGGAAGCAGGAGGAGAGGAATTGTGCACAAGAGGAGCCTTGAACGGCATTTGATGGTCGAACATGGCCCCCGACTGTTCTTCTGGTGTCTTCGTTGTTCGCACAAGAACAACCGCAGGGACAACCTCCGAGCACATTACCGAGACTGCCACCCAGAGAAGATCCACGAAGTCGATAGGATCGAAGGTGAGAGTTATGAGATGCGTGAGCGCAGTAGGCGCAGCGGTGAAGGCGATGCTCGAAGAAGGGGTTTGGAGATGCCTAATTCGCCGGAAAGGAGCAGTAGGAGAAGCAGAACACCTACCAAGCAGAAGGAGCCAAAGGAGCCTAAATCAAGCAAGGACAGGCAAGAGACCACCAAGAAGAGAAACCGGGGAGATGCCAAGGCAGAGCAGTCTCAAAAGGGGGTACAGGAAAAACAGAGAAGCCCCTGCGCAGATATGTCTACTGGGAGGGACGACCGAGAAACAAGCAAGAGCTGTCCTAGGAAGGAGACTAGGGATAGCCAGCATAACAAGCAGGAGAAGGATTCCAAGAGGAAGCGTGACCATGACAAGGATGAGCGACCAAAGGACAAGAGACAGAAGGGTAAAGTGCCAGCACCATGCACGGTTTCTCGACCACCAGATGACGCCCCACTAGACCTTTCGACGGCGGGAGGACGAGTGCCAAACCGGAAGGAGAAGGAAATGACTGTGACACCTGGACAGGAAAGGCGAGAAAAGGCGGCTGACTTGCCTAAGAATGTGAAAGATGCAGCCCCTGCCTTTGAAGACCACACACCTTCGGATACTGGCCCTGACGTACCAGAGGCAGGAGGGGAGGTGGAGATAGGTGATACCGAACAGCCATGGCAAGGATCTTCAGGGGAGCTGGTAGAAATAGCACTGTCGCCCACACCAATGCTGTGGGATCAGGAGGAAGAGCTCATCGAAGGCCTAACTTCAGCCCCAACTGGGGGTAAGCCGCTTGCGATGTTGGCAATGCTACGCGAAACATCGGCTGAGAAAGATGTGCCTACCGAGGAGAACGACCATAAGAAGGAAGATTCGCCTCAGCCATTCTGGCCTCAACCCCTGTTGCCGGAGAGGCTCCTACCTGGACAAATGGTTCGCGTGAAGGAAACCCGAGAGACCTACCTGTATGCCAAAGAGGGACGCACTATCTGCGGGGAGGTCCAGAGGGAATTCGACATCGTATATCTCAAGTCCCTACCTGCTAAGAGGGCCAGCGAGTCTTCTGATCCGCAGAACAGCAGTCAGCTCCGTCGCCTCGTCCGTTGCGAGAACACCGGGGAGGTTGTCGTAGGAGCACCTATGGGAAGGCAGGATCTTGAGAGAGCGATGGTGGGCAACGTTACGCAAGTCCGGGAGACATCCTCGAGGTGTGTGTTCCAGGAAGGCCGCAAGATCACCAAGGATAAAACTACCCGTGTCTTCGATGTGAAATTCCCAGCCGGTGTGATCGACAAAGATTAAGTTTTCGTATAAGTTTTGTTGTTCTCGATCGCCTAAGTAGTGCCCTGATCGCATGTTGTTTAAAGTAAAGTTTTCTTCAAGTGTTCTGACTTTTACAAGTTTATAGTTTTGAATAATGTTACATTTCTAGGAGTAAAAGGAAATGTTGCTCTGTGTCAGGGTTTAGTTCATGAAGAGTCACCTTACGAGGGTATAAGTGTGTACTTGAGACATATTATGAGTGTATAAGTTAAGGTGATCGAATTCACTTTCGCGTTAAATTAACCTGTTGAGGAGTAAACCTACTGAGTGCAGATGGACTCAGACTTTGTTTTAGTATTTTGTTATTGCTAGTTTTTCGATTATAAAGAGTTGTGGCCTAAGGTTTATAGTAAGTGGTTCCTGCTAAGGCGAAAGTTTTCGAAAGTTATGGAAAAAAGTGGCGCCTAGACTTAGAATTGTATTAAAGAGAAATATTGACCTATACAGGAGTTAAATGCAGAACATATTTTCACTTTTAGTTTTTCAGATGTTTAGGTCAAGGGACTGACCAATCTTGGGTCATGGCAATGTAGCGAAATTATGGTCCGAAGTTAGGACGCCCTCTTTAAGTTAGTTTATTCATGAATGCCGTGACGTATGCATACCGCGCGGCTATATAAGCAGTGCGCGGTGGCGGGAAGGTCACTCTGTGGCGGGAAACAGTTCGAGATAGTCAAAGTCCTGTGAGTAGTTCTGTACCGTCCGTCATTGTTCCGTCCGTCGTAGTTACTGCAGAGTCCGCACAGAGTCACGTTCCGTTGAAGTCCCGTTAGAGTCACGTCCAGTTTACTGTCTTGTGGGTAGTTCAGTGTAGTCCAGTGCACCCTTTTCTGGAGTAAATAGACTGAGTCACCGCAGATATTTAAGCTCTCCCTCAGTTTGTTACCCTGTTTAGGTGATTATAGGCGCCACTAAAGTAATCCTACCAAGGTGATCTTTGTTTTAATAAATCATTATTCCAATTACACATCGAGTTTGAGTGCTGTTTTGTGGAAACATCAGACCCCAGTCCCATCCCATTCCCCTGTGTCCGCCCAAGTACAACCCCGGTGTGTGGAAGGAAGCAGCTGCGAGCGCCTGGCGGTAGACTGCCCCAAAACGGACCTGTTCCCCTGGCCTTCCCTACAACCGCTCGTCGGGTCGGCAGAGGGCAATCCAGGCTACGTTGACACAGGCCGCCACAGTACCTTAACCTGGATGGATCTGGACAAACTCGGTACCATTTTGAAGCGGATGAATGGGCCAACCCGCATGCAAATCGGCAGGTCGATAGACCCGAAACTTTTGGAGAAAATCCCAGAAGTAGCAGCGGATGCCCCTTCTTTCCATTTTGTGCAGTAAGTCCCATAGGGAGGCCTGTCAGCGCCAACCCGCATGGCTCCCATGTATCGCAGCCTGAAGGTACCTTAACCTGGATGGATCTGGACAAACTCGGTACCATTTTGAAGCGGATGAATGGGCCAACCCGCATGCAAATCGGCAGGTTGATAGACCCGAAACTTTTGGAGAAAATCCCAGAAGTAGCAGCGGATGCCCCTTCTTTCCATTTTGTGCAGTAAGTCCCATAGGGAGGCCTGTCAGCGCCAACCCGCATGGCTCCCATGTATCGCAGCCTGAAGGTACCTTAACCTGGATGGATCTGGACAAACTCGGTACCATTTTGAAGCGGATGAATGGGCCAACCCGCATGCAAATCGGCAGGTCGATAGACCCGAAACTTTTGGAGAAAATCCCAGAAGTAGCAGCGGATGCCCCTTCTTTCCATTTTGTGCAGTAAGTCCCATAGGGAGGCCTGTCAGTGCCAACCCGCATGGCTCCCATGTATCGCAGCCTGAAGGTACCTTAACCTGGATGGATCTGGACAAACTCGGTACCATTTTTAAGCGGATGAATGGGCCAACCCGCATGCAAATCGGCAGGTCGATAGACCCGAAACTTTTGGAGAAAATCCCAGAAGTAGCAAGGGATGCCCCTTCTTTCCATTTTGTGCAGTAAGTCCCATAGGGAGGCCTGTCAGCGCCAACCCGCATGGCTCCCATGTATCGCAGCCTGAAGGTACCTTAACCTGAATGGATCTGGACAAACTCGGTGTCACAAGTGACTGTGTATATTCTCCTTAGTTTCATTTATTCATTGAATTGATTTATTTGGTTGAGTGGTTTTGAGTGTTTGTATGTGTGTGTGTGTGGATTCAGTGATAGGTTGTAAGTTCCAGTGATGAATATTCAGTATTGTTGAGTAAGCCATTCATGGTATGTGGGTGTGCCAAGGAAAGTGCTTTGTTACCCGTGTGTGCCATAGTTAGCAGTATGAGTGATTAGTAGAGCATGAACATTTGCCAAATGCCTTCCTTCCAAAATTCCTTGCATGGGAGCGGCTTGGGGTTTGCCTATGCTAAGCTGCTGCAGGCACTTGCTCGCCAGACACACGAGAGAGAGGACCTATTTTGTCCTTAAACTAGAATCACACAGCTAGTCTGATTTTTATTGCCAGCTTTAGCCTGAACAGCCAACAATCACAGTTCAATACTGACAGTCTGTGGTCTGCATAAAAAGCTGACATTATATGCACTCCGAGAGAGTTTTGAAGATGCTAACTGTAAGTTTAAATTATTTTCTTTGCCCACTTTATTTATTGTATTAATTAGAAGTGAATTGATTCAATTGTAAAATCTGAGATTGAATTCTTTACTTGCTAAAAATGGTGCGGAATCTTAGTGGGATTTTGGCTTGTAAAATTTCTAATCTCAGATGGCACAAAGAATGGGGAGATGTTTCTACCGAGTAGAGTGAGCCTAGCACTACCTGAGGAACTGAAGCTCTTGTCCAGGACCCCTACCTCTACCGGACCCCTTGGACCGGAATCTGAGTGATGCTGCATAGACAGTTGGCAGGCTGACAAGGACCTGGCGGCAGTCACCTTTATGATTGTATAAAATAACTGGCGAAATACCATAAACTTGATTTGGATTTTGAATGTGAGAGTGTAAATATTTTTAAATCAACAATATTGAAAGAAGGATTAATAATTATTCAATTTTCTCGAAGATAAATTTGATGTGGTATTGGTAATCTAAATGACTTGAGATTAATACAGAAAGAAAAGAAGGTTGAACCAAAATTGAAGAAGTGTTTGAACCAAAATTGAAGAAGTCTTTGAACCAAATTGAAGAAGTGTTTGAACCAAAATTGAAGAAGTGTTTGAACCAAAATTGAAGAAGTGTTTGAACTGAAATTGAAGAAGTGTTTGAACTAAAATTGAAGAAGTGTTTGAACTAAAATTGAAGAAGTGTTATTGAAAGAGTAAATTGCGATAGAAACAGAAAGGTTTCAACTTAAACAGAAAAGAAATTGATAAACTAAAAGTGAATTACGATTTGTGAATTTTGAGGTCAAATTGAAGATACCGTGATTAATAAGTGAATCTAAGAAACGAATTGAGAAATTTTGAGATTGCACAAAGATTTTGCGATTGAAGTTTAAGAAGTGAAAGTTTAAAACTTCACGGGTTAATTGGTGATTTGAAGTTTTGAATTGTTACAAGTTGAGAATTAAGGTTATTAGAATTAATTGTGGTGATAAAACACTAAGTGTCAAACAAGGATTGTTTGAGTTAAAGATTCACGAGATTTGAAGGAAAGTGCAGAAATTGAAAATTAGAGAATAATTAAGAGGTGAAGATTTGAGAATTGAAAATTTGAAGAATTGATAGATTTAATAGAATTGAGTGATAAATTTGACTTAAGTGATCAACCTAGATTGGACTATGCCATTTTGTGGAATTGAATAATTGAATTACGGGTACAACTCATCTAGATATCGTGAGCTATTTTACTGATTAGATTTCTGAATGCATTGATTACTGAATTTTAGAATCTCAAATAGTTTTAGTGCAGCTCATGTAAAATCCTCTTTCTAATTGTGACGTCCATTTTATAACTTTGAAATTGTAAATTTGGAGACGAATACTTGAGATTTTAAAACTTGTCTGGGCCCAAATTTCCGTTCGATCAGTTGAGTGTAATTTCATATCATAGTTTTGGGAATTGTTAAATTTTGATAGTGAATAAGAGACAGTTTAAGTGAATACTTTTGAGAACCCAAGATTGAGTTGACCTTGTTTTTATTTGTCTGTGTCCCCATGTACTTAGCGTGTTCAGTTCCCTCTAAAATAATGTCCGAGAAAACCTCTAAGAGGTAGTGTGACACTTGGTACCATTTTAAAGCGGATGAATGGGCCAACCCGCATGCAAATCGGCAGGTCGATAGACCCGAAACTTTTGGAGAAAATCCCAGAAGTAGCAGCGGATGCCCCTTCTTTCCATTTTGTGCAGTAAGTCCCATAGGGAGGCCTGTCAGCGCCAACCCGCATGGCTCCCATGTATCGCAGCCTGAAGTACCTTAACCTGGATGGATCTGGACAAACTCGGTACCATTTTGAAGCGGATGAATGGGCCAACCCGCATGCAAATCGGCAGGTCGATAGACCCGAAACTTTTGAGAAAATCCCAGAAGTAGCAGCGGATGCCCCTTCTTTCCATTTTGTGCAGTAAGTCCCATAGGGAGGGCCTGTCAGTGCCAACCCGCATGGCTCCCATGTATCGCAGCCTGAAGGTACCTTAACTGGATGGATCTGGACAAACTCGGTACCATTTTGAAGCGGATGAATGGGCCAACCCGCATGCAAATCGGCAGGTCGATAGACCCGAAACTTTTGGAGAAAATCCCAGAAGTAGCAAGGGATGCCCCTTCTTTCCATTTTGTGCAGTAAGTCCCATAGGGAGGCCTGTCAGCGCCAACCCGCATGGCTCCCATGTATCGCAGCCTGAAGGTACCTTAACCTGAATGGATCTGGACAAACTCGGTGCCATTTTAAAGCGGATGAATGGGCCAACCCGCATGCAAATCGGCAGGTCGATAGACCCGAAACTTTTGGAGAAAATCCCAGAAGTAGCAGCGGATGCCCCTTCTTTCCATTTTGTGCAGTAAGTCCCATAGGGAGGCCTGTCAGCACCAACCCGCATGGCTCCCATGTATCGCAGCCTGAAGGTACCTTAACCTGGATGGATCTGGACAAACTCGGTACCATTTTGAAGCGGATGAATGGGCCAACCCGCATGCAAATCGGCAGGTCGATAGACCCGAAACTTTTGGAGAAAATCCCAGAAGTAGCAGCGGATGCCCCTTCTTTCCATTTTGTGCAGTAAGTCCCATAGGGAGGCCTGTCAGCGCCAACCCGCATGGCTCCCATGTATCGCAGCCTGAAGGTACCTTAACCTGGATGGATCTGGACAAACTCGGTACCATTTTAAAGCGGATGAATGGGCCAACCCGCATGCAAATCGGCAGGTCGATAGACCCGAAACTTTTGGAGAAAATCCCAGAAGTAGCAGCGGATGCCCCTTCTTTCCATTTTGTGCAGTAAGTCCCATAGGGAGGCCTGTCAGCACCAACCCGCATGGCTCCCATGTATCGCAGCCTGAAGGTACCTTAACCTGGATGGATCTGGACAAACTCGGTACCATTTTGAAGCGGATGAATGGGCCAACCCGCATGCAAATCGGCAGGTCGATAGACCCGAAACTTTTGGAGAAAATCCCAGAAGTAGCAGCGGATGCCCCTTCTTTCCATTTTGTGCAGTAAGTCCCATAGGGAGGCCTGTCAGCGCCAACCCGCATGGCTCCCATGTATCGCAGCCTGAAGGTACCTTAACCTGGATGGATCTGGACAAACTCGGTACCATTTTGAAGCGGATGAATGGGCCAACCCGCATGCAAATCGGCAGGTCGATAGACCCGAAACTTTTGGAGAAAATCCCAGAAGTAGCAGCGGATGCCCCTTCTTTCCATTTTGTGCAGTAAGTCCCATAGGGAGGCCTGTCAGCGCCAACCCGCATGGCTCCCATGTATCGCAGCCTGAAGGTACCTTAACCTGAATAAATCTGGACAAAATCGGTACCATTTTGAAGCGGATGAATGGGCCAACCCGCATGCAAATCGGCAGGTCGAAAGACCCGAAACTTTTGGAGAAAATCCCAGAAGTAGCAGCGGATGCCCTTCTTTCCATTTTGTGCAGTAAGTCCCATAGGGAGGCCTGTCAGTGCCAACCCGCATGGCTCCCATGTATCGCAGCCTGAAGGTACCTTAACCTGGATGGATCTGGACAAACTCGGTACCATTTTTAAGCGGATGAATGGGCCAACCCGCATGCAAATCGGCAGGTCGATAGACCCGAAACTTTTGGAGAAATCCCAGAAGTAGCAAGGGATGCCCTTCTTTCCATTTTGTGCAGTAAGTCCCATAGGGAGGCCTGTCAGCGCCAACCCGCATGGCTCCCATGTATCGCAGCCTGAAGGTACCTTAACCTGAATGGATCTGGACAAACTCGGTGTCACAAGTGACTGTGTATATTCTCCTTAGTTTCATTTATTCATTGAATTGATTTATTGGTTGAGTGGGTTTTGAGTTTTGTATGTGTGTGTGTGTGGATTCAGTGATAGGTTGTAAGTTCCAGTGATGAATATTCAGTATTGTTGAGTAAGCCATTCATGGTATGTGGGTGCCAAGGAAAGTGCTTTGTCCCGTGTGTGCCATAGTTAGCAGTATGAGTGATTAGTAGAGCATGAACATTTGCCAAATGCCTTCCTTCCAAAATTCCTTGCATGGGAGCGGCTTGGGGTTTTGCCTATGCTAGCTGCTGCAGGCACTTGCTCGCCAGACACACGAGAGAGAGGACCTATTTTGTCCTTAAACTAGAATCACACAGCTAGTCTGATTTTTATTGCCAGCTTTAGCCTGAACAGCCAACAATCACAGTTCAATACTGACAGTCTGTGGTCTGCATAAAAAGCTGACATTATATGCAACTCCGAGAGAGTTTTGAAGATGCTAACTGTAAGTTTAAATTATTTTCTTTGCCCACTTTATTTATTGTATTAATTAGAAGTGAATTGATTCAATTGTAAAATCTGAGATTGAATTCTTTACTTGCTAAAAATGGTGCGGAATCTTAGTGGGATTTTGGCTTGTAAAATTCTAATCTCAGATGGCACAAGAATGGGAGATGTTTCTAACGAGTAGAGTGAGCCTAGCACTACCCTGAGGAACTGAAGCTTTGTCCAGGACCCCTACCTCTACCGGACCCCTTGGACCGGAATCTGAGTGATGCTGCATAGACAGTTGGCAGGCTGACAAGGACCTGGCGGCAGTCACCTTTATGATTGTAAAAATAACTGGCGAAATACCATAAACTTGATTTGGATTTTGAATGTGAGAGTGTAAATATTTTAAATCAACAATATTGAAAGAAGGATTAATAATTATTCAATTTTCTCGAAGATAAAATTTGATGTGGTATTGGTAATCTAATGACTTGAGATTAATACAGAAAGAAAGAAGGTTGACCAAAATTGAAGAAGTGTTTGAACCAAATTGAAGAAGTCTTTGAACCAAATTTGAAGAAGTGTTTGAACCAAAATTGAAGAAGTGTTTGAACCAAAATTGAAGAAGTGTTTGAACTGAAATTGAAGAAGTGTTTGAACTAAATTGAAGAAGTGTTTGAACTAAAATTGAAGAGTGTTATTGAAAGAGTAAATTGCGATAGAAACAGAAAGGTTTCAACTTAAACAGAAAAGAAAATTGATAAACTAAAAGTGAATTACGATTTGTGAATTTTGAGGTCAAATTGAAGATACCGTGATTAATAAGTGAATCTAAGAAACGATTGAGAAATTTTGAGATTGCACAAAGATTTTGCGATTGAAGTTTAAGAAGTGAAAGTTTAAAACTTCACGGGTAATTGGTGATTTGAAGTTTTGAATTGTTACAAGTTGAGAATTAAGGTTTATTAGAATTAATTGTGGTGATAAAACACTAAGTGTCAAACAAGGATTGTTTGAGTTAAAGATTCACGAGATTTGAAGGAAAGTGCAGAAATGGAAAATTAGAGAATAATTAAGAGGTGAGATTTGAGAATTGAAAATTTGAAGAATTGATAGATTTAATAGAATTGAGTGATAAATTGACTTAAGTGATCAACCTAGATTGGACTATGCCATTTTGTGAATTGAATAATTGAATTACGGGTACAACTCATCTAGATATCGTGAGCTATTTTACTGATTAGATTTCTGAATGCATTGATTACTGATTTTAGAATCTCAATAGTTTTAGTGCAGCTCATGTAAAATCCTCTTTCTAATTGTGACGTCCATTTATAACTTTGAATTGT